ACCCAGAATGTCCATAAACCGGGATTTGACTGTATATTGTCTGATTGCAGTTTTTCATGTAGGTGTATATAGGGGCGCCAAGTGAGGGTTTGCACACGGGCGCCATGCAGGCTTGGGCCGGCCCTGGTTTTATAATGCACTGTTTCTAACTGGATTCAGACAGGGACTTGAACTAAGGTCGACACTTGATGGAGGTACAGTATGTCACTATTCAACTTAGAAAGGTTTGAGTTATCAAGGTCAACTACTGCACAATTGAAATTAATGCGAAACTACGTGCTTGGGATCCCTGACGACCGCAGAGCAACGGCGACTGTTTCTCCCGCATCTCTAGGGAGAATATTTCTGGCATGCTGGACAGACACTTGGATAAAGTTAGATGCAGGTTCACCGGATCACCTCCTTCCACAGACTTCAAGGCCTTTACAACTTCCTTGAGGACTCCTAAAAGTTCCGAAATAAAATATACTCCGACGCGCGAGAAGACTTGCACAGAAGATCGGTTGTGCATTTTCAATCAATTCTGATTCAGGAGCATTTTACCACAGGACTAAAACTGAAAATGTTCCGTTGGTTTAAGAAAAAAATAGGGATGCTACGGAGCGCATTCACAGTCAAACACTGTAAGGGACCGTGAAAAAATTCGAGATACGGAGGTTTTGACTTTTTTTTTTAATTTATTGTGATAAGGAAAAGAACAAAGAATTACAGGAGAGCGTAATTGGTAATATTCTGAGCCTTAAATGGATCCTCAAATGAGTTGACAGGATGCTGAAGTTGGACACAAGAGGGTTCACATTCCAAATTAGTCTTTCATTTTCTTTCAAAACATTTTACATTTTCGTCGCTTTTCTCTTTCCTGTTTCAATAAAAATAATAGCTAAAAAACCTCCAGAAAATTCGAAATATAAGTTTGAGGGGGAAATTCATTGAGTTAGGGAAGGTTTTAATGCATTGTTTCAACGGGAATTAAGACATGGAATTGAAAGAAAGACATACGGAGGTATCCGACGTGACCAGGTAATCGAGGTTTAACTACACACACAATTTACCCCTATTGGAATATCAACTCACCAAGGAGGTGGTTGAATTTCCGCGATGCTCGCGCACTCCGGGCACGCAAGGCGCGACATTCGGCCTCCAGTCTGCAAATCCTCGCTCTCCGTATCGCCGTCGCATCATTAGTAAGTCTGCGTTGCGCACAAGAAGTCACCTGCTCATCTCGACCAAACTCAGCCGTCTCCTCAGCTTCCTCCAGCCGCCCCAGCGAGACAACGGAGGTGGTTGTGCGCAGGGGAGAATTATTCGCATCGTCGGCTGAAACGGATGTCGAATGATCAGGACGTGCAGCTGTCGTAGTCCGATGTCTCCGGAAGATGGTCATGAGTCTCGGCTCGCTCCTCCGTGGACCAATAAGCGGCAGTTGCGGATGGTGGACCTTGCCCCAGAAGGCGTGAATGTCCTCGGTCAGCTTTCGCACCCAGCTTTCCTTAGGCATCAATCGGTTCCGGGAAACAACGGAAGTGATTAATAAACGGGTTGACCAGCACACTTAAGCACTTGCCGAAGTTCTATATCTAAAGTTACCGTAGTCACACGGCAGAGAAGTAAGATCTGCAGGATACGCGAGAAAAGAGGCGAGTACCAGTATAGATTTAAGGGGACACCGGAAAAAATAAAAGTTCACTCGACAATACGATGACTCTCAGGGCAACAGAAGACGGAAGAAACCCGGCGAGAGGGACTCACGCAAAAAAACAGTGTCACTAAACAGACAAGACAGAAGACGGAAACAGGTGAAGAGCTTTCTAGAAATGTTCTTCACATAAACAACATTCAAGAAAAATTGAAAACTCCCAGAAATGTAACAATCATGCTAACGTACTGGATACTTAACATATTTGTGGTTTCTAAATTATGATGGAGCACAGAAAGACAAGAACAAAAAAGCCGATGAATGCTTCCAGCATTTACTTCTTTAATACCCAACTGAATATAAGACTCAAATCGGCATCGTCCTAAAACATTAGCATAGCTCCCATTATTCAAACCTTTGCAATACATTATTCTCAGACAAAATTTTCAACATCACCCAACTTTATCCTTAGGGAGTTCACATTGCAGTGACTATTCCCAAAACTTTCATGGAGATTATTATACCATATGGGCTTAAATTATCTCCAACGCAGGAAGTATTATAAACAGTAAACAGATTAAGGACTCGGGCAAGGTTTGCATCTTTTACATGCCAAGAATTACCGTAATTTTCTCCCAAACGCTCTTCAGCAGTGTATAACGAGAGAAAACGCAAACAAAAAATAATAGAGGCATGCTATGACACCACAAACACCATAACATCCTTCGTCCACTGCGACACATACGCGCGTGTTCAGTCTTCGTACATATGTTGAGGCAACACAAGTATTTCTGAGTAGCGAAAGACAAGGAATAATTTTCCTGGCACCTCGTAGAACTACGAAACGAGCATGCATGTAAGCGATGAAATAACTGCCAAAAAAGGTTCACACAATTCCATTTCGAAAATATCTTAATTTCGTCGCAGTATAAACAAAATGCAGTTGCTGTTCTGCATTACACTGCGATCTTCTCTCGTCTCGAAATGCGTTGTTCTCCCAGCAACAAATGCTCAACTCCCGAAATCAAATAAATCAGACGAATAACTCGGTGTGCAATACAGTATAACATTGAAATTACCTCAAGGAAAGCTTGGAATGTCGGATGCTTTTCCAATCCCTGGACGAACGGCAAGGCGAAGCAGGGCAGCATCGACAAGTCGTCACCCTCAGATACTAACGACGACTTCCTCTCGTCCAAGAAATTTCTGCAACGGGTGGTGAAGACACCGTAAGTGTACATAAAGTAAAATACGGCAATTGCACGAAGTGTCAGAATCTTCAAGACGATTTATCAACAATAAATTCTCGGCGTTTGCTAAAAAAGTGTGCTTGACATAGCGAAAGTGACACACAATTGATGGGCGTCCCTATGTGTTACTGCTTACGGAAAATCCATTCCTTTTGAAATTACTCACTTGAAATGCAACATGGCGGCTTGCTTGTCAGCGTCGGAGCGATTCAATCGAATCGGAAGGAGAGCGAAGTGAACGTGGATTCTAAAAACTAAAGACGCTCCTTCCGTTGAGGTGTTCCTCGAACCAGCACTCCTGCTCCGACAGCCCAGGAGTCCATTCCATATCTAAATTTTCAAATTGCATGCTAAATTTATAAATAATCCTGACGAGCAAAATTTGCTCCAGCTGCTCGTAATCTAGAAATATTTGGTCATAACCTGCTGATACAGTATCAACAATAATTAATCTAGGTCAAGTCGACTCTCAGATACAGCACTCAGGGCTTCAATATTTCATTTACACATGGACGAAATGTAGAAAATTTGAGAAGCAGGCAGAAGATGCAGAAATTCAGAATAGTCATCCATGCATTCAGTTTTCGAATTGTGAATAAGTGCAGTGCACTTTCCAGATATTTTACCTCAAAAAATCTCTTGCTGTCACCGGTTTCAAAAGGATGCCGCAGTCTGTCCCAAACAAATAGCCGAGAGTGAAGAACTCGTGTTGACAGCTTACTTGGCACATCTGAACAACTTGCACATCTGGCCATCAGTCTTGAACCCAAGTCATTCAACCCAATGTGATCGAAGTACTGCCCCCGAAAGAAAGTGACGGCATTGAATGTTCAATTGGATTATCAAGAGAAAGCTCCACAATCAAGCATATACAGTACCGTATATACTGAACTTCCAGCATATATGCTATACTGGTATAGTATGTCTCTAGTAAAGTTTGAACATAACATTAATATTATTCAAAAGGAAATGAGTGACCAACTGTGCAAATGAACCCTTGATGCTTCCAAAGTTGAGCATTCTGTTCCTTTATTCCTTCTCTAACCCAGCGGAGGAATTTGTGCATAATTTGACTACGAATGTGATCAGACATGAACCTGAAGTGCTTTTTTTTTGCATACAGTATGTGTATATATCCTATTATAGCACCAGTTGGTTGGGTAATTCATGTATTTGGGCCAGTATACATATTTAATCCTGCATGCATTGGTAAACCAAAACAGTAAACAATATCTAATGAGTACTAAATGTGCACTAAATGTAACCCTGGAATGGTTCACACTTGTAACCCTATATAGCTGGAGTAACCCATGCTCACCAGTTATTGTGACCCCAGTTCTGCGATTATACAGGATGCATAGTGCCCCACTTAGACAGGCACAGAATACTGTACAGTATCACCTATTGTCCTATTTTCCCTTCGGTGATTATTATTTTTCTCAACAAAAATGCTGGTATCCATGGAATTTTTCTTTTGTCCCTTTCGGAGTTCACTTTAACAAGAGGTTCGATTTCATAGATAAATTCTGCTGGTTGATATACAGCATCAGAAACCTTTCACATCAGAGATGTAATGGACGGTATTATAATAAATCACTATAATTGCCGAAGATATAGGGAGACCATATATAATCCAATTGGCCGAGAATTATGCGATAGTTTTTCTTCTACGAATAAAAATGCAAGACCCCCGGACATCACCTCGACAATCAACTCGTTCAGAGTGTCCCCGTTGCCGCAACTACCGCCTTTACGGGCGACGCTCATGTTTCACCGCAACAACAAGTGATGCATGGGACCAACACCTACCCGCTAGATTTCCAACGCACAAGACTCGTTAAAGGTCCTGTATTAACGGATTAAACGGCAAAGGGGTTAACGACAGGAAATGGGCCAACCGTACGTTTACAGCGGTGACATCTCGCGGCGGAATTTGTCGCGAGCGCGTGTCTAGAATTTCCAGCCCATCAACTATGATGCCCAGTCTATCATATGCACGAGAGGAGTCGACGCCTCTGACACACACAGCGCGAACAGAACCGTCGACGGTTTGTGAGCTATGTAGCTTCCTAGAACTGCTCCGGGGTCAGAGGATAACTGCAAATACAGTACACTCAAACCTCTAGATCTAGATGTATATTTTTTTTATAGGGATATCCAACTTGCTATATAGGTTATGTATAATCCAGAATCATTTACACGATCGAGCGACATGCTCACAGAAAAAATCTCAGCATTACTTCGAGCACTACTCTGAATTCAAATGGTTGAAAAAAAAAGTTTTATTGTTGCATGCATGACATCTTTTATTCTTTCTTTGGAAACACGCACTGTTTATTCCTGCATGATACAGCACCTCATATTAAATCAGCCTAAAACGAAGCTTTAATTAGAGACAGCTCTCATCCTTCACTTTGAGACGATATTTGTGTAAAATCGAATATTTTCTGTCTTTATATGACTATCGTATTGACTCAATTACCACACGCACCATTTAATTAAAATTAAAAAGAGGGTGCGCGCATAACAGGCATTTACTTAAAATTTAAGACTTTGGTGTACATGATCCTTGATTTCAATCGGGAAGTTTTGAAAAATTTAGAAAAAATGGGAATAATGAAAAATGGGTACACATTAAAGGTAAATAAAATTCAAGTGAAAATTTATACTTTGAGGCCTTTCATTTTTGAACTATTCGGAGTAATTTTCAGTCTCTGAAATTGGGGTGGGCAACTTAATTAGGAAGACATTTTTATCCAAATTTCAGGCGGAAAATGTGGGTGCATCCCTTGCTGGTGCTGTGTGGTAATCAAATAAATACAGTACAGTTTAACCTTGTCAATTTTTCCAAGTCCCTCTCTGTACCCCTAGAAACAATGCATTGAAAATCTCTATAAATCAAGGGATTTTCCCCACAAACTTCTATAATTTGAATTTTCTGGGGTATTTCCTTCTATTATTTTATTTTCAAAGGAAAGAGCCAGAAAAGCAATGAAAGTGTAACTTGATGTGTTTCAAAGGTAAGTAGACCAATGGGACTGGTGAACCCTTGCATCCAAGCCCTGCATCCTGTCACCTCATTTGAGGCCCAGTACAGTATATATCACCATTTATAATTTCCTGCAATTCTTCCATCTTTCTGTCCCAACACAAAGCTTATTTCCCTGTCTAAATTTTTCTTTGCTAGTCCTTTGAAATGCAACTTTTAGAGGTTTGATGGTATATGTTGAAAGGCAGTACAGAACACTAGAAATCAGTAAATTGCTTGAGCTTCAATTTTTTTTCCTTGTGACTTGCTTGCTCATAAAACAGACACCTACTGGTAGTAGTCTGACAATGGATTAGGGTTGAATTTCAAGGTACCACCTAGAGCACCAAATCGAAATTTGACTTGATACAGTACTTCTATCACCAGTCTATACACAGGAAAATTGACAAGCAGATCTTGTGGTACAAATTTTTATACAAGGGGTCTAACAAAGTTCTCAGAATATAAATTAATATGGCATACAATTTAGCTGAAAAAATGTATTCTTTAGAGAAAACATATTCTTTGGCACAAGAAAAAAATCAGCCCTGTTTTTTCTTCTTTTTTTCCCAGGTTTCCCCTCAGAATTCTTGAAATCAAAAGGGCATTAATTCCAAGGGTTGCCTCCAGGTCTTCCAAGGTAATTCCACCATGTTCATGAAAATGAGGGGAATTACTTTGGAAGACCTGGAGGCAACCCTCAGAATTAATGCTCTATTGATTTCAAGAATTCTGAGGGGATACCTGGGCTACATAAAAAATCTTCAGGAAAGGCACCTCATCTTTTGAGTTGAGAGAAAAACTCAGTCAGGGTGAATTTTGCAAAACATAAAAAAAAAATGTCTAACAGGGCTGATTTTTTTCTTGTGCCAAAGAATGCATTTTTTTCAGCTCAATTGTATGTCATTTTAATTTCTATTCCTCAAATTTTTGCTGGAACCCTGACCCTCATACATGATTTTGTTCAACATGTGCTTCAGAAGTTGAGGTGTGAAAAAGTGTGTTAAGATTGGCTTTAATAGTCATTGAAAGAAAATTCTGCTCATAATTTCAAACACTAGATTTCTCTGGAATGTTTGCATTAATGTAATCTTGAAAGAATCCACAATTTTGTTTGATTTTGTGTGATGTATGATTTGAACTGAGCATTTCATTTGTTCTCTGCTATGTTCTAGCAGAAAAGGTAAGCCCATGAAAGAAAATAGCACCAGGCTTGTTAAAATAAATATTGCAGAGTATTATCTAGATTGTTATCACTTTCACAAACAAGATTCACTGCCTGCTAACTTGAACATTGCATCAAATAATTTGCAGCACTAATTTCTTGATGTTTTTGCGCCAGAAAATGCACACCCACATCAACCTTTCCTGCCTTGATTTTGCAGAAAACAGATTCCATGTGGTACTTGATTAAATATGATAAAATTGTTTCAATGCCATTCTTTCCCCTGATGAAACTCATCATATTAGTCTGTAAAAAAGGCCAAATGAAGCCAGACAGATTGGCAATAATCAGCTGATTTATCAAAGACGACAGTCCCTTCCGAGTCGTTTGCATCATTATTAAATAGATGAATAAACAGTACCACGTGCGAAACGAACAAAAAAAGGAACGACGGACAAGCCCATCATCATCAGCCAGCAAAGGAGGAGTCCCGCAATTTGACACACGCGTCGTCAGCCAAGTCTCGCCTCATTTGCGAACGGGACCAGGGCTTTTCCGGCATTTGTCCAGTTTCAAAGCTCACAGGGTGATACTCGACGTCCTCCAGATAGAGTCCACAGGCTTCGGCCGTTGACGCGCGCGGGTTCCACGCGTCCGAGCTTCGTCTGTCGAACATTTCTTCAATGTCACACAGATCCAGTCGGCCTTTGCCGGCAGCAATCACTGCTCCGGCCATGCGTCTCACCTGAAGAGAACAAAAAATACCATATAGCACAATAATGACAGGTGGACTTTCTATATGACGATCTCGTCTGCAACGATTTTCTCTGCACAGTACAAAAAATTTTCCCTACGACAATCCGCGAAACATGATCCGAACATGCGGATGTTCTGACGCAGGGACGACCAAGGTCCAAAAGCATCAATTAAGTCCGCATCTCGGGGCCCCACTGTGATGACCTCTCGTCAATCAAAATCAATGGAAGAAACTAACCATATGGTACAAAAATCCAGATGCCCGAACGCGAAGATTCCACACGTCATACTGAGGTCTCGGTTGAAAGCGTGACACCATCAGCGGCAGTCCAGGTTCCAAACTGCATTCGTAAACCTTACGAACAGTGGACTTGATGATCCCCGCGTCATGCAAATGTTCTTGCTCGCGCCTCTTCGGCGCCTTGCTAAACGTCGCGAAGTCTTTGGTTCCGATAAACATATCTGCGACTTGATTCGCCTTCTCCGCATCGAACGGAGGCCTGCGAAAGAAACACGCCAATGAGCTGACGCTTTGATCAAGGTGCACTGATCCCCAATCATGAAACCTGGCTTTTATATACACTGAATATGACGTACATAACCAGTGCACAGCGGTCCAGTTCAGTCACAGGAAGAAGGTTTTTCAGATCCCGTTCTGCATGCTGACTCTCCGAGTCCCGCAGAACAGCGAAACGATACACGTAAGTCCGAGATGCAGCGCAGTGTCTCGCGCTGAATTCGTCACAAACTCTTCGAACTTCATGAACCCTGAGGAAAATTCATCGAAAACACACCGAGTTGAACCGAATGGCAATTAATCATCGTGAATTTCTGGAACATAGTGTTCGAAGTTGGTGGAAAACTTTCACGTCCCTATGCACGTGCGCAACTCATTGACTTATTCCACCGATCGTTCAATCAAAACTTGGCGATCACGTCATGTCTGGGTGGGAGAAATGACCAACTCTAACCTTTTCATCGCCATGTATTCAGCACATTACGTAAGTCGGACATTCATCAACCACGCTCGTATTCAAATTCATCGGAAGGAAAATTAGCCGTACCGCGCGCATCAGAAGATCAACTCGGCCATTTTATAATCATCTACTATGAACAAATGATCGGAGAATATTCCATCTAGAATATCTAACCGTGTACTGTCGCATCACATGAGAATCGCACAACTTTCAGCGCTAAATATTTAAACAACTACAGTATTTGCGCGAACGAACGAACCTTATTGGACGAAGAGCATCGTAGAAGAATTTATTCAGTCCTTTGTGCAAGATCTCCGGTTTGAACTCAGCGTTTTCTCTGCTGTGCACCAGATCAACGTGACCGCACGTGCGCATCGCATGAACTCCCTGATCAGTCCTGCTCAAACACGCATTCCAGTAAGCAAGAAATAAACAAATACCATGAAAAACTTTCTTCCAAGCAATGGTGGACACTTCAATGACGATCAATTTCGCACTCATTCTCAAGTACGACCGACCGTATACATATATTATACTCAGGTAAGAACACCTGCCTTTACGTGATGTGTTCTGGGACTTCGAGGCAGATTTATCCCGAGATTTACGAAGTATAGGAAAGAGAAACACAATCAGGCCTGAGGAATTTCTCGCACCTGCTGCAGTAATGAAATCTTGGCTCGTTGGCCACCGGGAATCGTTTGAGAGCAGCTTCCATCACACCTTCCACGGACTCCAAGTCGGTCGAGTAGGAGGGTTGCTTCGGGACTCCCCTATGTCAAATCGGGAGACCAACACAAAGAAAAACCCGAACATCAACAAGAGCTAGTACACCAAAATGAAACCAAAACTCCCGAATTCCGAGGAAAAATCAGTTTTATTGTACAAGCATCTCGTCTTGTCTTCGCTCACCTGAGAAACGTTCCCAAGTATCCATAGAAGATCGCATATCTCGGCATACCCGGCGGAAAATGCTTTTCAACAAAAACAAACCGAGTCGCTCGAACGAGCACCTGCAAGAAGAGCAGCTAAAACGCATAGAATTTTCATCAGTCGACATAATTTCAGCAGAAAAACAGATATGAGAAATGAAGTTCGTTCAATCCCGTCCCTTGAAAAAAAAAATTAAACAGTAATACTGTGTTCTTTCATTCATGTCATTTTACCATCAACCGCATCATCACCTCTCCATGCCCGCAGATCCTCCCCGACTGAACTCCGAGCCCAGTCGCCCATCCAACAAAAACACGGCCTATCTCTCTCTCTCTTTCACAGAGCCTCGGACAGGAGGACAGAGACGCAGACAGACGGATGCCCAAAAAATGCAGAACACATTGCACCATATCCCGAAACTCAGAAACAACCAGCGAGGGAGAGAGGAACAAGGGATGGAAGGAATGAACGCAGGGGGTCTTCCCGAAACTACTCCCACAAGCAAGCGCAGGCATGCAGAAGTACAATACTGTACCACAATTCTAACAAATCCAGAATATAGTAATGTACTGCAGTATGACGTTTGAAACAAAAACAAGAATGGACTGTCCAAGTGAGCAAATTAATTCTGCATTTTGCCAACAAGGCCACTCAGAGTCAGGCTTGTGCTGCAAAAGCACATGAACTCCCAGAGTGAGATCCATAACAGAACCATGATTCATCCACAAATGCATTGCCTTTCAACTTCTTCTAACATTGTCCAACAGGGAGTAATAATATTTGTTCCAGGGCCATCAGTGGCCCTGGAAGATGCAATAAAGTTTTATAATAAGTTTTGTTAGTCTCAGGCAGTATAAGTGCTTCTCAAACAGTTGTTGATTGAATTCTTGGCATAGAGTGAAATGTTACACAGCAGTTTTAACAAGACACATGCTTTCCCATTCCTCATAGTTTGAACATTTCACCTGGTAAAAGCAGTAGAAAAACATCCTCATGAATTACAAGTTTCTTGAACTATTTTTGTAATATAATTTTATTCATACTGTAATGTAAATTCAACAGAAAAAAAACATGGCATGTCAAATATCTGCAAGAAAAGGGCAGCATTCAAATTGACAACTTTATTGTTTTCCAATTTGAATCCATTTTGAAAAAATTATGCCCAATTTATGTTTCAAAGTGTTGGAGGACCAAGACATAAATTCAGAATCAATGTCTCAGGTACTGAAGTGTACGTTATGGTGTGTTACCATACCAAAAATGGCACCAGAGGCCTAGCTTTGAAATACAGTGGAATCTAGTTATAACATATCATAGCTTACAATTAACTCATTTTTCTGTCAATAGCCACAATTATAATTGAATGTATTTTATAAGATTTTTTTTAAAATCTTTTTTCCTGGCCCCAGCAGCTTTGTGGTAAAAAGATTTCACAGCATCAATAAATTTCTTTTCATTTTTGTTGGTAATCTCCTGCTGGCAGCACATCTGATCTCAAATTAAACATAAAATTGTCTTGAAGATGCCTTGATTTGGAATTTGAATCTGACATGAAGCACTATCAAGACATACAGTACAGTACTTTGGAAATTTATATATACAGCACCTGGACTCTCTGGACAATGCAATTCAAGAGACCAGACAGGAGTGTTTTGTAGAATGTAGAGAACCCATACAAAACATGAGGGGAGATCCTTGTGAGACCAAGAAAAACATTTGTTATACAGAGAAAATCCTTGTAGACAAGATTCCTGGAGAGAGAGTCTACTTGTAGCAAACAAAGCTGTCCAGGCAACATTTATTTCTAATTGAGCAAATCACTGTAAGAATGCCAAGTTATTTGGGCTTTCTGGAGTAGCCCTCTTTCAATTGTCCCCCAGCATCCCTGGAACCCCCCTCCCACTTACCACAAGCAAAGAACATCACACAGTGGTGTCAGAGAGACATGTCGAATTGCAAGCATTCCCTCGGCCTTTGCACCACTCGCCCATCGAATAGAAGAAAGCACAAAAAGATTTCCGAATGATAAAAAAAGAAAGATTGATACAATCTAGATTTACTGGACGAAAGTGGCACTCGGGGATTCCCAGCCTTCGTGGGACACAATCATTCAACACAATTCACGAGAATGCGTCTAAATTGAAACGACCTTCTCACTGGGAGCAAAATTCCACGAGAGTGGCAATGTATTGCACTTTTTAAATTACAGGTACTCCAGTAAATGTGGTGTTCTGTCGAGTTCATTGCCTACAGGCAGAAGAAAATGTAAGTAAATTTCGGGTAAAATTATCCAGGCTCAGACCAGGGGTTTTTATTTTTTATTTCTTACCCTCTGGTTTTGGGTAAAAAGCATACTTGTTTTTACTGTGTATACAGTAGCTGCGGTGTAAAAAAAATTCTCTTTCGTCCTTCACCTCATTCATTCTCACGTTAATTTTTCAAGAATCCCCTTGTATTTTATTCTATTTTTAATATTCGTTGTCCATTGGCTTCCACAGATCCCATTTTTCTGGCTGACGTTCACTTTATGGGCATTCTTCCACCGGCATTTTCTCGGTTTTAATTTTTTTTACTTGGTAGAAAAATCGACCATAATTTGCATACTTGTACAGTAATATCCTTCAATATCTGTTAATATTATTTTCAGGCTGGAGGATTCTAGAGTCATTCCAGCTACAATTGGGGAGAATTCATCCTGACATTTAGTTTAGTCTCGCAGGGTTTGAAAACCCTTTTTATTTCCAATTAAGAAACGTGCGCGGAAGATTTTTTTGAGAAGATTTGGATGCCGTGTGATTTTTTTTTCGTGTAGTTGTTTGTTTCTTAGTTTATTTAGAAAAGGAATCGACAATCGTTTTTGCTGATGCAGTATATCTCTAGGTGAATATCTTGGAATAATTATTTCGAGGTTTGCAAATTTTCGAATTATTTCTCCTAAATTTGTGGAGACGATTGTTGAGTAGAAAAAAAAGCTAAAATTTCGAAGAATTCATTTCGAAATCTCGTGCAGCTTTTTGCAGGGGTTGAAAACCCTTTTGTATTTACATTTGGAAGATTCTTTTGAGAAGATTGGGATGCCGTGTGGATTTTATTTTTTATTCTTTCAAGGAGGGGAGGGGGGGGGGGTTTCTTGTCACGTGATAGTTGGAGAGAACGATCCAGGTGCAAATCACGTGCTCGAAAGTGATTCACCCCGAGTGTGGACTAATGGTGCAAGGCCTCGTTTCATTGGGTCAGAGAGAAGAAACCAAGGACCTGGGTGTAATCTCGCTCTGCTGGGGGACACGTTAATTAATTTAATTAATTGCCGTGAACAATCATGAACACAATGTACAGTATATAGCTTCTTGACTTTCTGTGGTAATCAGCGTGGACGTGCTGTTTTTTTTTTTTTTTGCTGTGGGGCTGAGTTTTTTCTTCAGTCTATGCTCTGCAAGTACAGCATAGAACGTAACACCTTCAGGTAAATTATATTTTTGAGTTTTAAACAATCGCCATAGATTAAGATTTGCATTCTGTGCTGGATTGGTAAGACGCTGAAAGGTTCAGAGAGATTTATTCTTCCGAGACGCAAAACATGAGGAAGTACTTTTTATAATTATCTTAGAAGCTATATTCTTCTTAATTTGTGAAACCTGAGGATGACTTCTGCTAATTTTATCAAATTGAAGACTTTTGAATGGAGTTGAGTTGTGCTAAAAGTTCATTTATTTTGCTCAAGTCTGTGAAGCATTTATACACAGGTCTTCAGCCTTAGGAGTTCACTTGAGAGAAGTATGTGTTCAAGGGCTGAAATAATGGTTATGAGATTTGGGAAGAAACCAATTCATTTGATGGTTACTGTGAGACTGTTCATGCAAGAGGTAATCAAGGGTAAAATCAAGCAAGAACCAACAGTGAAGTGATGCACTGGTGCAAGCCTGAATAAGGGTAGTAAAATTGAGTTGCTGAAAAAGTTTATACGAAATTCAAGCGGCCATACAAATTTATTGTAGAGAACCCCTGTAACATGAGGAGAGAACCCTGTGGGACCAAAAAGATTCCTTGTACAGAGAAAATCGTAGTAGTAGAGAGAGAGAGAGTAGACCTGTAACAAACTCAACACATGATAGCTTCATAAAAAAGAAGATTTAAAAAATCAGAAGATACTTTATTCAAATGTCTAAGAAAAATTTTAATGCAACTGGCTAACATAACATGGTACTGTACTGTATTATGTTTTACAGAAACAAATATTTATTTGGGTGTACAGAAGATCAACCAGGTTGAAAACCAGGCAATAAGGGCTTAATCCTCTTAAAATCCTTCCCAGCGCCATTTTGAGGATGGATTGTCTCTTGACAAGACACAGTTTTGCCAAACATATTTCAGATCTTATTTGGAGAGTTTCTAGGTATTTTTGAGAATAGATTTGGGAATCCCTCCATCTTGAAAATCCCCCAAAGAAACTTTTTCTGTAAAATTTATTTAGATTATTATTTAGTTTTCTTCAGAAATCAATCAAGATTGGCTAATTGAGAAAATTCTACTTCAGTGGAAGCGATAAAATTGTTTCATGAGAGTTCAGCTCCGGTTTTATTGGGATGAAGGGCATTGCAAGGATTCACAGAAAGAAGACTAAATTTGGGATGGATTGGAAGGGGAAGAAAAATGAGAGGTGAAGGAAGTTTGGTAACTCTGGGGGAATCTGGCCCAGATTGCTAAAAGAACTGGGGGGGGGGGGGGGGGGGCAACATAAGCCGCCTTAGGCCCCAGAGGGGGGGGGGGGGGGGGGGGGGGGGGGGGTCAACATAAGCCGCCTTAGGCCCCTCGCTTGGTTTTCTGCCTGCTTAGTTAACCCGGTACCTTGCCAACTCGTCCACGAAGGAGAAAACAATAAAAAAAAATTAAAGATCAACTGAATTACTGCACTTCAAGTTATATTTGTTTTATACAGGTAAACTCTTCCTACAACTAAATTCAAGTGACCAACGATATTCTTGTGGAGAACCCCTGCAACATGGTAAGAGAACCCCAAGGAAAAAAATAATTGTGGAGAGAGACAGACAGACAGAGAGAGACAGACAGACAGAGACAGGGAGAGAGAGAGATCCACCTGCATTTCAAAATATCTTAGGAGGTTTGGTATAATAATTTAGCACTGATGTGCGGTACAGTACAGCACAGGTACAGTACAGTAATTTCAAAAATTACTGATGAACTTGCAACCCACGTAAGCCACACAACTCATTTCCCAATGAAAAAAAAAACATTTGCGACATCCACAAGCCAGGAACTTAGAAATAAGTAAAGATACGGTATTCATGAACAAGGCAAAACAAACCAAATACGAAATGCCTGACCTACAACTGACATGGTCTATTCAAATACCATTCTTCTTCTTGCCTTGAAGAGAGTCACGTACGAGGGA